AAACAAAGCCAGTTATGAAAATCTACGATTTCGTATCTTACTATTAGCTATTGTTTTTTCAGAGTTAATAGTCAATAATTAGTGGTGTGAACAGCCAGTTGTGAACAGTCAACTTTTGTGCAATTTTTTTTATCACAGCAAAAACAATATCATCCTTCTCACTGATGCAAATAAACTTATTAACAAAACTTAGAACCAAAAAAGAAAAAGAAATACATTTTTTAAAAAAATGCATTAATTTTTTTTATTAGTGGTACATAGCGTTACGAAAACTTTAAAAAGGGTACTCAAAAATCATAAGTTTGGGAAACACTGCCTTAACCTAACATGATGAAACGTTCTTTTTTTTAATATCCATTTAAAACTTTAAATAACATAAGCATTATCATTTATTAAAAACTCGCATAATAATCTGAAAAATCTATACTTAATATTCTGTTTTTTTTTTTGACGAACCCAAATTTTTTTCATAAAAAAAAAAAAAACTGCGCCAAAATTGGCATTAATTTTTTGAACAACTGCTCCGGCGAAGAGAAGTGATGGATGAGTTTATGGTTGAGTGATGGATGATCCTCTTGGGAGATCAACTGACATTGGAAAAGGGATGCTGACGAGAATGACCATCATCCTTGTACAGTCCCTCAAGAGTTATCCTTCTGCCTGTTGGCTATGGCTCAAGGCCAGGAAATCCCCGACCTATTTCTTATGTTTGCCTCCTACCACTCTTGGATGAAAATAGTAACATCTCTTCTGAACACCGGGATGAGGTTTTTGCTCCTCTTCACTTTCTTCCGCAATCACAATATTGCTGCGAACAAGTGAAATAACTTTACTGCAAGTCATTTCAAACCCTTCAAAAAATGAATTGATGAAAATTATGAATGCAGATTTCTACAAGTCACAATTTTTTTTTAAAAAAATCGAATGAATGTCAATATTTAATTACATTTTAGAGCACCACTACCCATTTTTTCTTTGATTGAAGTATATTTGTATGAGGATTTCTTAATTATCACTCTTGCAGAGGATGGTTGTCCCTAATATTAGTAAAATTACGATTTGCAATTAATGGCCGGAGAGCTGTAATTTTTTTAAATATTTTCTTACATTTCTTTTTATTTTCATTTTACAACAGTTTAAACACACCATCGTCTGATTATCATAGATTCATTTTGTTTATTTTATTTTGATGTCTTCTTCCATCAGCATGACAACCTAGTACAGGCAAGAGCAGACCCAACTAGTGCAACAAGTTTCTATTTGACGCAATCAGACGCTAGGTTTCTCTATCCAACTCCCATGGTTTTTCAAGATATTTTTCCTCAGAATCAATCCATTTGGTGTTAGGTCTTCCCTTTTTTTGGTTACCAGTGAACTTTTCAAAAGTCTGCCTCATAACTAATCATCTGGGACTTCTGAACCGAGATTTACTTAATTTATTTAATTATTTAATTAATTTATTTATTTAACTTGTTTATTTAATTTACTTATATAAATTTATTTATTTAATTTATTATATTTATTAAATTATTTAATTAATTTATTTATTTAATTTGTTTATTTAATTAATTTATTTATTTAATTTGTTTATTTAATTAATTAATTTATTTATTTAAATTTATTTTTAAATTTATTTATTTAAATTCATTTATTTAAATTTATTTATTTAAATTTATTTATTTAAATTTATTTATTTAAATTCATTTATTTAAATTTACTTATTTAAATTTATTTATTTGAATTCATTTAATTAAATTTATTTATATTAATTTATTTAAATTTATTTACATTCATTTGTTTAAATATATTTATTTGTATTTAAATTTATTTACATTTGTTTATTTATATTTATTCATTTATATTCAGTTAAAATTTATTTATTTAAATTTATTTATATTTATTTATTTAAATTTATTTATTTATTTGCAAGTTAGGCTAGTCAACCCTATGCTCAACCCTAACTTGAAGGATTAAGATGTTCTTCAAATTTTAAATTGGAAAGACACAACGATGAATTTTCAAACGTACCTATGAATTACATTATAACCAATTAAGTTTTCCCAGAAGGCTAATCATGAAGGTTTTTAATTCAACATAAATAATTAAAATCAGATATTCTTTTTTTCTAAATTTTTAAGATTAAAATGGTTGCTATGTTTTTAAGATCCTATTTTGAAAAGATACTAATAAATATTACAAGAAATTTTTTCGGATTTTTGAAATAAGTTCAACCATTCGTTTGTACCTCAATTTAACACTATTTATTAATGTGTTTTACAAATTATGAGATGAATTTTAATTTAAAATCTTTGAATTAAGACTAAAAATAAAATAAGAAAGCCTTTTAAAGATGTGAGTTCAAAGACGCTTCCTTAAATTTTTATAGCTTCTACTTAATAACAAAGTTAGAAAAAAATTATTAAATCGATAAAGTGATTTTGTAATAACTATATCATTTTATAACGTACTTTTTTACTCAGATTATAAAAACTGTTTGCGGTTAGCATTTCCTGTAAGATATTTTGATTCTGTTACTGCATTACATCTTTATTTTAAAGATGCCTTTTCTTCTAAAGAGTTTATCTTTGTTAAATTTTAGTTCATTCAATTTTTTTCGTTTAATATGATGTGCAGACTTCTTTATTGAAATACAGACACAACTTACTAAACTTTGAATTTCAATATTAAAGTTTATTGAAAAATACCTTTATGAGAAAAATTGTGGTTCGTTATATTTTAAAAACGAAATAATCTTTGAATAATTCTTCACCGTAGAAACTATGGTACAACACCACCTTGAATTGAGTTGAATAATCAACTTTTTTCTTAATATCGATTTTTCTCTTTAATATCGATATTCAAAGTTCGTTCTTTGTTCTTTAATTCATAGGACTGTGCATTAAAGAACACATTATCACAACTTAACACTAAATTAAACGTTTATACACATTTCAAAGAGAGAAGTCCAATTTAAGCACCAATAAGGAAGAATTCTTAAGCCAAGTTTCGAAAAATTCATATCATTGGAGGGTTAATTTCGTGTCCGAAAATACCAATTTTGGCATTTTTTGGATATCTCTAGTAGATTGTTTACAATCGAGTATGAAATCGCGTGAATTTAATGCTCTCTCCATGTTGCTAAACATTTACAAAAACAAAAGTTCACCGTTTGAAAATGTATGTACTTTGAAAATGTGTACCGTAAATGCATGTACTTGGTGAAAAAGTTTTGTTTGTCTCAACACTACAAATGGTACTAAAAAGTTACCATTTGCTAAAATAGAGTAATAAAATACCATGCATGTATCTCAACGCTAAATATGGTACTAAAAAGTTACCATTCACTAAAATAGAGTAGTAAAACACCATATTGTTTCTAATCCCCTTACCAAATGCCTACAAGCCATATTAGTGAAACCAAGCGAATTTAAGGCAGAAGATGCCTTTCTTGTTTTTTAATGGCGCCATCTGTGACCAAGAGTACATCATCAGCCACTCACACGTCACAGCCCATTTTTAAAAGGTGAACCCATTAATTCATCCATTCATTCATCCCCAGATCGTAATTTTGACCTGAATCAGCGAACGATTAATCTCCAATTCGTTACCCCCAGAGGTTTTGAGATGTTATGGTAATTCGGAGGACTTCATGACTCGACAGATTTGACGTGCACCAGTCCCCATTTACTTCACCGTCTTCAACCGGTGGGGATCAAACTCATGATCTCTTGGACATGGGCTATATGTCCTACCAACTAGGTTAAACCAGTCGACACTATACGTAACTCTTGGATGTACGTGTTTCACAACACAAAAAATGTTCTTTCAGACTACTAAGTGTAAACGTGTTATTTAATAACACAAAAATTTATAATTTCAGTAAGATGTGATACACATAAGAGTCAGTAAATTTATTTTTACAATGCAATATAAAGTAAGAATCATTAAATTAGGATTCGTCTATACAATATTTCTTAAAATAAAATTAGTTTGTTAATTAAACAAACAAACAGCACAGGAAGAATATGATTTCGAACAAGACTTATTGCAGTTGAAGCGAGTTTTATTAAATTAGTTAATTCAATTGTAAATATTTTTATGAAAAGGCAACCATCTTTATTATGAAACTAAAAACATATATCTTTTTATAAAAGTTAATTTCTATTTCTGCGGAATGTTTCATCCTGTGTCATCCTGCTTCGTGCTCGGCGAAAACAAACTTGGACCTTGTCAATTGATTTCGAAACGTACGCCAAAATTGAATTTTAAAAATGTCAGAAATTTGAAATTCGATTTCACATGAACTATTTAATTGATTTCGTGCAAATTTTGAATTCAGTTACATAAAATTAAATTTTTTAAAGAAATTTAAAAATTTTTATACCTAAAAATTTTTCGGTGCTGAGTAATATAGTGATCATTCTTTCTTTTTTTTTTTTTTGGATAAATTGAATTTTTGTAAACACGATTTTGTTAATCTAATGATGTAAAGTTACCGAATAAAAGTGAGTGCAACCAAAAAAAAGAATTAAATTGGTTCAGTTTCTTTTTCGTGATATGACATATGCCTTGCAGTTTATACGTGATTACAGAGTGTTAATTAATGCCGATTCATTGATAACTTGCTATTTGTTTAATTTAACCAGTAAGGAGAAGGGGTATTCAGTTAGTCTAAAACAAAATATAAATACCCTTTCTTAATAAAACTTCGATAAATTTACAACTAATTCGCCACAGACATTATTGTCAAGTCATGTTCTCTCATTGCTTTTTATAAACAATTTCATCCGGCGTAATTACTTTGCGTAAACAATCGCCCACAATTCCAGTGCCAACTGCCAAACTGTTGGTTACCCTACAGACCCGGAAGACATCAATCCATGGTAGTATTCACGTAATACTGTAATGGGGACACAGAGATTAAATATTAATTTCTGAAAGGATTCGTTTCTCGATTTCTTCTTTTTTTGAAGAAGAAGAAATCTTCCGACATCAGCAAATGACGTAAAATAGAAGCGAGGGAGTCTGTTCTAAGACGGTGAACTTTTGCAAGGTAGTTTAGTAGCTCGTGGCAGCGAGCGTTGCTGTTTGAGATATTTTTGGAGTACCGTGATCCCAATATAGCGCCTGACATTGGATGCCAGCCGGCCCTTCGTGGAAGATCCTAAAGAAGGTTTTCCGCGGCACCACAACTCTTCAAGACTCGCGACAAGGCAAATAGGATTGATCCAGCTCCGTCAAATATCGAAAGTGAGTAAATTTATTGAACTTCTAACGAGCTTATAGCTTACATATAACTTAAATTTGTAAATTATTACGTCTTTAAAAAAATGTCAATGTATTTATTTTAACAGGCTCCGTGGATATTATTTGTTTATTAAATCTTTTTGATTATTAAGACTGTATGAAGTTATACATTATTATTTGATTCGATAGTTTATATCATTTTATCTATAATTATTTTTATAAAATGTTTCGAAGGCATAAGATTTCAAAAAATATTCAAATAAAAATGACTTATGAAAGTTTAAACGAGAAAAGCTATAAAACTGTATTTTTAAGGTGAAGTTTTAAGTGAACGTGTTTATAAAATCATAATATATTTGGTTTACGTTAATGTTCCACTACCATAAAAAATTAACTCATATGTCCAAGAGTCGTTAGATACTTGGACATATTTTTGACCACTGACCACTATTCTACGGAAATCTATGTTGATGTGATGCCTATTATGCGTCGTCTAAGCTTTAAATATTGCAGCGTTGCCAAAAATGGAAAAAATGTTAGTAGTTTCATCATAAAATGATTACTTCTTTAATTTTACAAGGCCCGAAAAAAACTCTGATTTATGAATGTTTTTCTTTCAATACTTAAATACAACCATTTATTTTACATAGCTTTATTTATATACTTGGCAGTTGCTTTGTGTTAAATAAAAAAATTAACACACATAATCCTTAATAATCATGACCAGTCTCAATTTGAATAAATATATAACCCATGATAGTATGATATAATAAGTGATCAGTTTCGACTTAAACAAATATAAAAATGTATCAAGTGGCAAATGAAGTTTATTCTCTCTAGTATTTTAATTTGTAATATCTTTTAACTAATGTTTTCTAATCACAGCTTGATGGATTTGTGATTGGTCTTCAATACCTTTCACATTCAATAACTGTTTCAGCAACCTATTAATTATTTTTTTATCAAATCTGTTTTTCCATTCACTTTGAAAGAACTCTTACATTGATGAAAATGTCAATAGTATTTTTCATAGCTTTACATGTTTACTATTGTTCACTAAATTTTCAAATAAAATTTTGCAAGTTTTGTAATGTACTATGATTTGGTGGAAAACGGCATTTTTCATTTATTTATCAATCATCGAATTAAAATTTTAATTCAAATACACACACTGTACTTTAATGCAGAACTGTATTATTATTCCATATTCAGGTCAAAAGCACATTTTACTAATTTTATAATTTAAAATTTAGCTAAAAAATTTTCGTCGCTGATACTATTCAAACATTAAAATGCTGGAATCTTGATTAAAGTTGTTTTCATTTCCTAATAAAGTATTGGGAAGCATAAGAGTAGCTCTTCTGTAAAAAAAATATGTTTATTTTATTTTATTTTACTTTATTTTATTTTTATTTCTTTGATTGCTGCGCAATTAGTGAATGCTCTGTTTTGGAAAGCAAGTAGGTGAATACAGACTTGTTCAAAAATTTAAAAGGAATCTTGAACTGACCTATGGGGACAATATAATTTTTTTTGTTCGTTAAATAAATAATTAAAGATATAAAAATAATTTATGAAAGTAGATGAATTTAATTGTAAGCTCTAAAACAGGTTTTTTAAACAATATTTATTATAAATCATCTATGCAGTTGTGAAGACGCTTATCAAAATAATTATCAAAATTCAATCAATTTATTCATTAGAGTTTCTTTTGCATTAAAATTTTCAATTTCTATTTTTATTACTTTTTTTTCATGCAAATTTTATTTATAAGAAATTTTTCGTATTTTATGTATTATCAAATGTAATATTAGATGTAATGTCATTCCACGGTTATTTTTATGTATATTACATTAAAGAAAATTGATTATTTTTAAAGGATGAACTTCTATTCCAATAAATTACTTTACTGCAATAAATTAGAAATATTATATAAAAAAATAATTATAAAAATTTGCCAAATAATTTTTATTATCAATTCGAGCTACGTTATCAATGGTCAAGGCTAGTGTTTTGCAAACATGTTGTAACAATAACAAAACAATATGTGAAATTAAATATAGCATACCAAAAAAATAAAATAAAGAGACGTGGTTTAATAATTTATAATTGTTTAAAAAGTGAAGCCAACTAACTTGTTAAATATGTCATTTATTGTAAAAGTTGTGTAATTTCATACAAAAAATATGTATTATTTGCTTAATTGCCCTATTTTTCTTTATAAAAGTGATGCAACTTCAATCATTCTATTAAAATCCTGTAGAAGATAACATTGAACATTTCGTGCATTCTTATTTGACTAGCAAAGCACATGACGCGAACTTCAATAAACCAGACAGCTACAGTTATGTTAACCAGGGTTGCCACGGGCAACTAAAATGCAAAAAGTGGTGACTGATAAAATTCAAAACTTTAATTAAAAAAAATTAAAATAAGGAATTTTTATTTTCATATTTCTTTTTAGTTTACGATTGAAAATGAGTGCAAAGAAAAATTTTGCTTTAAATATGAATTATTTTAAGTGCAAGTCCTAGTGGTAGTCATGATTGACTAATTAAGAAGATAATAAATAAATGAAAATGAATATAATCTTCTACCACCTTTTATATTTTTAATCGCCTGTGGCATTCTTGTTTAACCCATTTGTGCCTAGTGTTCTTTAAAAAAGACGGTTTTTTATCATTCCTTTTACAATGAAGAAAAAAGTGGTAGCACAAGTAGTTCACTATTTGTATTTGGTTTTCAGAGACAAGATAATTATATTTACTATAATAGATTAACGATGTAAATATTTAGGTATATATCTGATATTAGGGTGCGATAAATTCTCAAAACTGAACTGGTAGGTTACAGAAAGAACTATCTATCTGGAATAAACAAATACGTTCTACTACTTTTTTCATGTAAGTGTTTTTCATATTATACGACTTTTTGTGTCTGCCTATTAATGGGGTAGGCTATGATTTGTTTTAAGACCGGAAACGAGAACCCTAAAACACTTCAGTGAGTTTTGCAGATGATTACGTCATCTGCAGATTATAATTATTATTTTTAACGCGCAAACAAATATGGGAATTACATAGTTGAATCCAGAGAACGCCGCCTAAAACTAAAGGTAATTATTCATTACCTTTCATTATAAAGGTACTTTGTTCATTTTTTTTTTATCTCTGCTAAAAACTCAACTTAAATTTAAACAAGATAAATTCGAAAAATGAATCTGAACATAAGTTGAAACTGAAACTGAATTTTCAAAATAATATTCTCTGTCTGAGATCGAAGATAAATTTTTAAGTACTAGGACAGAGCTGCAGATCCACTTAGTATTCTACTACCGGGATGATAAAAAGGAAATTAATAAAAGTTTTTTCTTTTTATAAAATTTCAATTGCTTGATATTCTTCTAAATACATAAATTTGTAGTTGTAATTTAATTTTGCGATATTTCTAACTGTTCGATTATGCTTATTAGTGAAATTTCAAAGTGATTATTTGAATCTTTTTATTATTTTATCAGGTTTTTCTGCTTTAATAGATTATAAATATTGCTTTTTTTTTGTAACTATACCATTTCATAATAAATTAAGTGTATAACATTAAACCAGTGTGATAATTAAAATTTCCAATCGAGATCAAATTCACTCAGTTCCAAGTAAAATATTATAAAGAATATTAAAATACATTAAATTTTTAACAATAATTTCAGTGTTATAAACGGCATTAAAATACATTTAATATTTTATTAAAAAAAGCAATTCGATCACGAATAAAATTATATAATTTGTTTTAAATTTATAAATACTTTTAAAGAAAATTATTTTTTGATAGTCGCAATGGCGTTGAGTGTTCTTTGGAACCGAAGAAATTTTGCGACTCCTTTTATTTTACTAGGTTATAAAAAAATTTTAAAAATGAGACTTGTCATTGTTTCTCACTCCATTGTTTTATATATCCAGCCGATTATAACCTGGTTGATCTGATTATAAAGGTTATTTTACTTCGAAAAATAGATACTGTCTGTTAAGTATGTGTGGGAGTTCCGTTGCAAGAAATTATTGGCATCATCCCATTTTGAAAAGCAGCCAATATGTCAGCCAAACTGAAGCAATCATTTCGATGAAAAAGCAGTTTTGTTCGACACCATACATTTATAAGAATTATTGCTTTCTTCAGTGACTAAAAATATTGATAAATTATACTTTAAAAAAAAATTTACGAAGTAAAAGAAATGTACTTTTGATCGCTTTAAGCATAGTAATTTTAACATTTTAATTTTAGCTTTCTCTTACGTTAGCATTCAAACATGTAAGAAAGGAATTTTTGTAAAAAATAATAATATTTTTTATCATCTGGTACAAAATGATACATTAATAGCGGCCAATATTGATACTTCATGTGGATTTTTTTTTCATGGTAGAAATAAAATTAATATTACATTGATAATTGAGAGTGGAAATTGCTTTGTATCCATAAGATTATTATAAAGCGTCCAGTATGTCTGTTTTAATTATTTTCAAGCGGTGGTGATCAAAATAAATTTAAATCAAATTTCTTAAATCAAGAACAAGCAGGAAGGTGAATTAGTTTTAACTTCTGTATCTATTAGCTGTAACTTTTTCAAATATCTTTAGTAGATTGGAATAGTTTCGAATATTTTGTTTCATCAATCTTTTTACACCGCTTTTCCCATTTTCCATCGACTTTAAATTTCGAAATCAAATTCGTCTGAGAAAACTTTGTGAGTTGGGAGTTATGCACATTGTGCAACACACTTTTTAAAAGAAACCTTACAGAAGAATCATAAGAGAAGAACTATAAGAAGCTAACTTTCTGATTAAAGTGCAAGAATTTTTCTAACTGTAGTAGAATGTGTATCTTAATTTTTTTTTTTATATCAGCAAATAAGATTTATTTGATAAATACTCTACCACAAAAAGGTAGACTATATACAAAAAATACCTATATATGAAAATTTGGCAATACAAATTTGTTTATACCAAGTA